AACTGACTCAGGACAGACCCATCCCAATAGCTCAATAGTCATAGACCAGACACCCAGTAAGACACATACTGCCAGGGAATGACTGGCCTCACAAGATACCACATCCTTTGATAGAACTAAGAGGAGGAGGACAGGAAGAGTACATGTACATACACTGTACATGATAAATGAAAAGAAAATTGATATACATGTACATGTACATGTATGTTAAACTGAGATTAAAAAAAAGCAATAACAATGATAATAAGATAATCCAATTATCTGGACTCTTGAAAATAACAAGAAAATTAATGATGAGATTTAATACACAATAATTACATGTACATACTGTACATGTACAACACAGTCTCTCTCAAATGGGAGAGTTCCTTATCTATAGATGCATTGCTATACATACTGTACTGTGCACTGTACATGTAAATCAAAAAGTACATGTACATGTACATGGATATTGTTCACTCACTACTCACTGAATTTGATGTCCCCATTCTGTCTCTCTCTTTCATTTCCATTGACCTATTGAGTCCAATCTGTACTGGGATTAGTGCTAACATCAAGTAGTGAATCTGAGGGGGCGGGGCATTGGTCTGTGGTCACACCTTCAATATCTTCTGAATATCTCTACCTACAATGTGTATAATTATTAAAATTCCCTATGCCACCAACTTGTCAAAAAATCTAATTTTGATTGGAATGAGCTCAAACGTTCTACACAACATAAGTACATGTATATGCATCAGGAAATGCATTTACTTCTGATAAATGAAGTGCCTTTCTGAATCCAATAATTAAATTACACTTAAGGTCACAAGTGCATGTATAGAAAACAGACACATGCACATCTGTACATTTGTACATGTACAATGTACTATACATGTACATGTACAAACCTTCCAATAGCAGTAGGGAGGACATCAGAATAAACCAGACTTCATTGACTAAAAGGGGGAGAGAGAGAGAGAGACGGACAGAGAAAGGGAGGAAGAGGGAGAGACAGAGAGCCTGAGAGAGGGTGGGAGAAGGACAGAAGATAACAGAATAATGATAGTGGAGTGGTTACCCATTTCTGAGACATGATGATCTTCTCTCTGT